GGGGGGCAGTCCCACATAACCCGGGCCACTTAATGTAAACTCCCTTCCCGGAGGGGAGCCCGGGTATCCATAAAGGATTTCCACACGTAAAAAAAAAAAGGACGTAGCAGCGGTGGTAAAGGGAAGGAGATGGAGAGGGAGGAGAGTGAAGCGGCGAGAGGAAGAAGGACAGGAAGTGAGGGGAACGAGGCAGAGGGAGAGAGGAATGGGAAGAAGAGATTCTGGAACAGCTGAGGACCTTGACGAGAGAGATAAGAGGAATGAGAGAAGTGATGGAAAGGAGAGAGGAGAGAGTGAGGAGGGAGGGAGAACAGTGGAGAATAGAAAGATGGACGAGGGAGGCGAGGAGTGAGGAAAGGAGGGAAGGAACGACGGACGTGAACGAGAGGTGGCAGGAGAAGGAAAAGGAGAAGAGGACAAGGAGGGAAGAAGGCAAGGATGGAACAAGTAAGGAGGGGAAGGGAACGAGACGGAAGGAAGGAAGCAAAACAGCAGGAGACGGAAGACAGGTAGTAAGAGCAGAAGAGGTAGAAGAAGGGAAAGAGGATCGGAGAGAAAAGGTAGGAAGTGTGGAACAGGCGAGAAGGGAGATGGAGAGAACGCGAGACCAGGAGGCAAAGGAAGGAGAGGAGAGAGAGGAGGAAGAAGTAAATGACCGGCAGAAGAGACAGAGGGAGAGAGAAGAAAGAGAAAAGAAGATAACGGAGTCAAGGAAGGGGTTGAGAGAGAGAGGAAGTAGGGAGGCGAAAGAGTGGGAAGGGGGAAGGGGAGAGAAGGACGTACAGGAGGACGGTAAAGGGGGGAAGGAAAAAGGAGAAGGGAGGGGTGAGGGACAGGGAAAGGTAGGAGAGAGAATAGGGGAGAAGAGGGAGGAAGACAGAAGGAGGAGTCTAGTATGGAGAGGAGTAGAAGGCAAGGACAGGGAGGAAAGGTTATGGAGAATAAGGAGAGCGGTAAAAAACACGATAGGTAGGGATATAGAGATAGGGGAGATAGTAGAGAGGATAGGCGAAAGGGGTAGGGTTGTAGTAATCACGGAAATAATGGAGGAGGAGGATAGGGAGGAGACGTTGATGAAGGCAGACTTCCTAAGGGCGAAATGGGGGTTAAAGGTGGACGAGAATCTAAGCATGGAGGAGAGAAGGACGAGGTGGAGAATGGTGGAAAGGGCGAGAGTGGAGAGAAGTAGAGGGAGAAGGGTGAGGTGAGGGTGGAGGGAGAAGGGTTATGTGAGGGTGGAGAACAGGAGAATGTGGGTGGACGGGAGAGAGTGGACATGGGAAAAGGGGACAGGGGAGGGAGAAGGAGAGTGGAGAGAGAGATAAAGGGACGGGGGAGGAAAAGGGAAGACAGGACAAGGTTTAAGTTCTTGTTGTTATAGGTAAGGAGAAGGAGAAGGTGAAAAGCAGAGGAGGGAGAGGGGAGGAAGCAGGATGGAGAACGACACAGGAGGAGAGAGAAGGGAGGATGGAGGTCGAGGCAAGGGAGAACGAAGGAGGAGAAAGAAAAGGAAGAAGAGGCAAGGAAGGAGAGAGACAACCGAGCGGTAGAGGAGGGAAAGAGGAAGAAAGAAAGACAGGATGGAGGGAGAGAAGGCAGACGGTGGAAACAGGAAATGGAAGGAGGTGGGAAAGGACGCGTGAGAGAAGAAGTGGAGGGAGGTACAGAGGGAGGGGGTAAAAGAATGTAAGGGTCGCATACGGCCAGGGCGCGAGGAGAGGGGGAAAAGGATTTGTAAAGGGTTCGGGAACGCTCCCTGAAAAAAGCGCCAATACATGTGAGATATGGAAAATGTAGAGAGAGGAGTAGGAGAGGCGAGAGGTTTGGGAACGTTCCTTAAAAACGCCTTGTAACCAAAAGGGAACAATACATCACACTACCACTACTACTACTACTAATAATAATTTTATTGAGTGCTATGTTTAACAAACAAATAGTAAAAATGCATATACAATAGTAATAATATTGAAGATACCAGTTGCACACTATATATGTGTCGTAGCCCGATAGCGAAATTAGCCATTTAGCTAAAAGCCTAGGCGTTTATTAGCTAAATGCCGCCCGTTAGGATAATCCATGGTGGAAATATTACAAGGTGAAGCATTGCGCATCAGGGAGAGAGATGGGCGGTAACTTGGTAT